TTTCAAACATCCAAAAACTTGGAAAGTGGAAAATATTTTCCATTTTCCATGGAAAATCTCACCTTTCAAGCAGGGCCTTAGTTTTTTTTTTTAATTATTATTTTTTTTATTGCCCCAATCCATTAAAGTGAGATAATACTATATATATAATTTTAATTTTTTTAATTTATTTTTAAAAGTTAAATTATTCAAATATATTTGATAAATATAAACTTTTGTTGTTTTTTAATATTTTTTAGATAATCTTAATTGTCATATTCTATTAGAAGTAATGAAATTTTTCATTTAAATTATTGAATTAAAAAAATTAAAAATTAAATGGGGCGGGGTGGGGTGAGAGCCCTTGTTCCCCAAAATTGCCCGAGGCAAAGTTCTCGATCCGAAGACCCGATTAAGAGGGTAATTCCCGCCCCCGTTGGGCGGGACTCCTCATACATCGGGTTTGACGAATTTTTTTTTGTCATCCTTAGCTAAATGTGCATTCAACTCAGAAAAAAAAATAAAAAAAATAAAAAAGGAGGAGGAGGAGGAGGAGGAGGAGAGCAATAAAATAAAATACAGTACCGTGTCCCAACTTCCAGGACAGATCTCTTCCATTTTTCTCTCCAATTCTCGCCCGGTATGAATTTTCGACTTACCAATTAGTTAATTTTTTCTTCTGCACCAAATCTTGGATATAGATATTATAAAAATTCTGGAATACAATTACCTTTCATATAGCAATTTACAGCGTTTTTTCTGAAATCGTTTTCCGACTGTTGAGATTTTTAAATGACGGAGTTTCTTCATGTTTTACTAACTTTACAAAAGTGTCAAATTTTTAAGATCGCATTGGGGTTGAATGATTTTCAGAATATTTTGGGGGGAGACAGATCAAATTTGGAGTTTACTTTTTCGAGAAGAAAACCACTGCTTCAATATCTTGGCATTTTAATTGATTATTAGGTAAATCTCACAACTCAAAAGGGAGGTGTGAAATTTTTTTGTATTGTCTTTTATGTGTCGGCAGTGCAAATGGATATTGTGAATCTTCAATTTATTTGCTAATCACTTGATAGGCATGAAATAAGCTACTTTTTACCATGTAACACAATCTTATTTTTAACTTGTGTGAGTGAAATCTTGGTGATATTGAGGCTTTTTCACACACACACACGCATGTGTGTGTGTAAATCTTTTTTGCCTTGTTTATATTAGAAATTAGTTTTAGAAAAGCTTAACTTTTCCCCCAAAAAAGGCTGTTAGTAGAGAACATAAGCATTCTTTGGCACGAATTGAATTTAAAAAATGAAAGAAAGCTCGAGATGCAGACACGAGGTAAGATGAATACAAAAATGAAAGAAAGCTCAAAATGCAGAAATGAGATAAGAAATACATTCACTATATATAAATATGCTTATGATTCATTTATTTGAGTTTTAGTTCGTGTTTCTTATAGATTGTTATGGATAATATGTCAATATAACTTCTTTCCCGTTTGGGTTTTCTCTTGCAAATTTTTTGTTAAAGGTATAATCTTACTCATGTCCTATTGCAGAAATGTATGATAATCTTGGAGCACAGCCTGGGGTGCAGTTACCATCTTCCAACACACAGCCAAATCCATTTGGGAATACATTCTATGGTGCTAGTTCAGGATTTATTAGAGGTGGACTGGGTTCTTACGGAGAGAAAATCTTAGGATCCAGCTCTGAATATGTGCAAAGCAACGTAAGAGCTTACAGGGCCTGTGATGAGAAATTACTATGTATAGTTTTGAAAGGTGTTAACTTCCAGTGACCAACTTTGTATAGCTGGATGATGCTGATAAATGTTATCTTGTTTTCTATTATTGATGCCTCTTAGAGTTAGAATTTTATTATAATATATCCTTTTGTTTTTTTTTTTTTTTTGTTTATTTGAATAACAGATTAGCAGGTATTTCTCTGACCCTCAGTACTATTTCCAAGTGAATGACCATTATGTAAGGAATAAATTGAAGGTTGTTCTTTTCCCATTCCTTCACAGGGTAAGAGTTTGTTCCTCCATATAAATTATCTTGTACTTGTTTCTTCTCCATTTCTGAAGTAGTTCTATTGTTTCATTGATTTATTTAGGGTCATTGGACAAGAATCACTGAGCCTGTGAGTGGTAGGCTCTCCCACAAGCCCCCAATTTACGATATCAATGCTCCAGACTTGTACATTCCATTCATGGCTTTTGGTACCTATGTTGTTCTTGCTG